GTCTACGTAAATAGTTCTCGTGTGTAATAATTAAGACAAATTTAGACAAGAAGGTTCAATTCCGCTCATAGCTTTCCGTAGTCTTCCGCGTTTAGCTTTCCGCAGCGAATGTATGTAAACAACGACAGTAATGGCTGCCGCCAACGACACAAATGAATCCCTGATTTCACTGTCGATAATTCCAAAACGGTAGATTTTATCAAATTTATCAAGCCAGATTCGAATGAAGCATGTACTATTGCACATAAATGTGTTATAGACAAGCGTATGGTTGCAAGAAAGAAATACGACAACAGTAGAAATAGATTAACGTGGTTTATTTCAACAAGAACGTGAGGGTTTGGGACAGCTACCTTGTGGTAAAGTTCATAAACCGGTTTCGGATCTAGGTCGATCTCTCATAGTACTTCACACATGTTGACGGTGGTTGGTGCTCTCCTGCTGCTGATCGCTCGGCCTGACCGTGGTAGGTCTGTTTTGCGGCCACATGTGGACTGCCTGTTGAACTTCCGTGTGACCCCTTTTATAGCGTTTTTTTATGGCTTAACAGGCTCGAGAAACGAAATTGGACGAAAAATAGAGCAATTTAAATATTATTTTATTTTTCGACCGGAACACGTGTGTCGGGAACATTTGTAAAGAAAGATAATGGTCATTTTGTGACGGGGCTTTGTCCCGTTCACATCCGATTCTCGCTCTTGAGTATTTGCCTGTTAATCAGCCGAGATATGTCTTATTTTATTTTATAACAAATGTAAGTATTTTGGAAATTTTTTTAATGCGAACTGAGCGCCGGTGTTACACTGCAAATTAACTATTAATTTTCTATAAAAATTTAATATGCTTAAGAAACGACGAACATTCTTACAGTCCTTAGGCAGTGGGAAATTCTGTAATGCACTGACATTATATTATGTAGGTCTAATCCCGTCAGAGCTAATATTGTAACGCAAAAAATCGACTGAAGTTACATTGTAGAGCACATCACCACAATTATTTATCTTTCACTGGGAATGACGTGGAAAAGGACCAGCAAAGACGCTGGAGGTTACCAAACATGTAGCGGTCACAATGCAATTTATATTTGACGTAAAATAGCACATAGTATAAAATACAAGACAGAACGTAATTGTTCAAAACATAACAATTGAATTTATTAGTGTTGATGTACATGCATATAAGCTGAAGGTTTGATTGAGTTATTTCTCTTAGATTTGGAAATATTTGTACCGGAGCTCATAAAGTTGGATTAATTATTAAACTGTAGAAGAATAAAGTTCCTGTTGCATATTAGGAAATGTGAATTGGTAAAATTGGTAAGAGTTCAGAAGTGTTAAGAGTTCGTACTTGCGTGAATTGGTAATGTTCTTTAACGTCTGACCGCACGGTCAAGACGGGAGTTCTTGAAGGTGTATCACATGCCTGGCTCAAACCTTAGTGAGCGGGAAATTTCATTCCACGCGTGCAGGATATCTGATTGGTCGGAATTGACCAATCAGCGAGCTAGTTTTGAGGAGATTAACCAATGAATGCTTGTCGCATGATTTGCATGTATGATGGTGATGATAATGTTGGCTTTGTTATCGAAATTTTTAGTTTATTATCATGTAGGTATAACAGTTTCAACGTCCTCTTATATGTGTTGGAGAAGAGAAATAAGTGCCGATCGACTTTTCTCACCTAACGATGTCTCGTGCGGGTCTCGTCATATCACGTGACTGTTTTTAATTCTCGTGAATATTTATAATTAATTTTTACCGTTGTTTTTGTTTGGATCAAGTGGATATAAGTATTTTGTCTTTTCTCTACAACATTTAATCATCCCAGGTTAATGAGTATTCGCCCGGATGATCAAATCCTTTCTCCCAGATGACTGCCTTTACATGCGAGATCCGCCCAATCTTTTCAACGGAAGCTGCGGTATTTACAGAAATGGTACGGTCAACACTTTCTGTCCAATAACAGCGTTTCTTCAGAAACCTAGCAGTCAAAATGTCCGCTAGTATATAGCAAACACCTGGATCAAAACCGTCTCATAAACCAACTCCTTAGAAGGCCTATACGTTTTATGCTCATTGGTTAAAAATTCGATGGTCACTATCCAATCAGCCCAAACGATTTTAAATTCAAATTTGGCTGGATTTTGTAAACATCGAATCCTAACCCATCCTGTAAAACTTTGCCACAGGAATCTGTTAGCAGGTTTTTGTAACATCAATTTTTAGCCTTTTTTTTTGCCTTTCAAATCTTTACCTATCGATTTTAACTCATTTATTTAACAAACTATCTGGCTTCATTCAGGCGATTTCATTTTATGCCCATTGGTTAAAAATCCGATTCTCACTATCCAATCAACGCGCACGAGTTTGAATTTCAAATTTGGCTGGATTGTGACAACATCAAATCCTAACCCAATCCTGTAAAACTTTGTCACAGAAATTTGTTTGCAGGGTTTTATAACATCAACTTGTAGTCCTTTTTTTTTTCTTTCAAATCTACCAATCAATTTTTATTCATTTGTTTAACAAACTGTCTGGTTTCATTGTGATGTTTGCTTTTTTTTCAATTAAACCATGGTAGTAACATTTGAATTTTAGTTTTTCATAAAATTTTATATAATTTTTTTTTTAGTTTTGCACTGTTCCCACATTTAAATTATTTTTCTTATACAATTTTAATATTATCGTTTTTATGAAAAAAATAAGTTTTATACGAGGCCCATTATGAAAGTAAATTTAAATCTAATCACATAACTAAATTCTTTCTTATCGGATTTACTCGACGTCTTCGGAGAAATGAAAAAAAATACACAACGATCGGCGTGCTCGAATAAAAATCAGCAAAGAGAAGATGAAAGATAAAAAAAAGCAAGAACTCATAATAACAATGCTTATTCTCCGGAATATTCAGGATAAAAGCAACAATAAGAAGATAAAATGATAAGATGAAAAGAAAGACAAGTTCAAAGCTAAGATTTTATTTATTCTAGACATTAGCTTAAAGATTCTGACTTTGAAAGAAATCAAATTGATGGCGATGGCCATATCAACTATATCAGTGAATTAAATTCAAGAAAGGGTTGCATTTTAGTGATAACTAAATCAAACCGGTGTGTTTGCGGGTGTGGGTGTGTGTGGATTCGTATATTCGCGTGCATATACATATGAATCCCTATTTTTGTCCTTTACCTATATCCATACTCATGTATATAGCGCTCCCCACGTTAAAACGACAATGTGTCACATACTGCCTTAACTGGTACGCCAGGTAAGAATATATATATGACGTCACGCATTATGAAATGGACAAAGTCCGACAATTATTTAATGACATTTTTATGTTTAACATTCTTTTTATAGATACAAGTATTTAAGTAAATGCTCTGTTTATAATAAACAATATTAAATAACATTTACCGGCCTGAATGTCCAAGAAATTTTCATAGAAAATATTCGTCCTTTGATAGGTAAGAAAGACACACATATATATATATATATATATATATATATATATATATATATATATATATATGAAATATATATTTTCTATGAAAATTTCTCGGATATTCAGGCCGGTAAATGTTATTTAATACTGTTTATTATAAACAGAGCATTTACTTAAATACTTGTATCTATAAAAAAAGAATGTTAAACATAAAAATGTCTTTAAATATATATATATATATATATATATATATATATATATATGTTGTGGCAGACTTACGGACGATAATGGGTACGTTCCCATTCGCAAAAATACAGTAGTAAACACTGTATGTTGGTCTGCATTTGGAGATTCGTCCCCAGCTGTGCTAGTCAAACTCTCTGCCTCCGGGCTGAGAGGATCCCCAGACGAGGCTATGTCGAAGGGCAGAGTCTCGTCTTAAGGAACAGCTAGCCGACACCGTTTTATACGGGGTGTACGGGGAATTTTTGGCCGAGCCTACATTAAATTCGGCCTTGGGCCACATCTGACCGCGTGGAACGGTTGGTAAATATCCTGCAGTTAGAGATTCATTGTGGAATTCACTTGGCTCACTTCTAGCAGTTGACTACTTCTTGTACGCACCGCTGGCGAATCTTATATGTGTTATTCTTGTCGTAAGTATTATCATCTATTACCAACCTTCGTGAGATTATTCTATTCAGTAACCTTCCCTAGGTTACAACAATATATATATATATATATATATATATATTAGCAATAAATATACATTTTTTTCGCCACCAGCAGTACGACTCCGAGTTTCATGCAGAAGGCAATCCTCAGGTGCTGAATTGAAACTCAATTTTCAGGTGCTAAATTGAAACTCTATGTTCAATTCATATATATATATATATATATATATATATATATATATTGTCATCCACAGAGAGACTGTTTTACTGTATCATCAGTTTGACTAGATATTCCGTTGCTTCAAGCCAGGATCGAAAACCCGACTGATTCGGCAACAGTCGTAGGTTTTCCCTTAAGCCATCGGCGCACGTTTGAAAGAAAGGTGAATTTTTACGTACTTATTCTGGGAATAAACACGCCAATGACTGAGAGAGCTCAATTCAAGAAAGGGGAATAGCCTTGCAATGTTAGTAGTAATAGTTGTTGTTTACAAATTAGAAATATATATATGTGTGTGTGTGTGTGTGTGTGTGTGAGCGTGCGTGCGTGTGTGTGTGTGTGCGCCCGCGTGCGTGTGTGTGTGTGTTGCTAGAACATCCGTCTATGAAGCTCTAGAATCGAGAGGCTAAAAAAATAACATCAATCAGCTAAGACCTGTACATATATATATATATATATATATATATATATATATATATATATATATAGAGAGAGAGAGAGAGAGAGAGAGAGAGATAGAGAGAAATAATGCCATCGATCGATATAATGATGGCGAACGAAAGAAAGACAGAAAGAAAGAACGAGGAGAGAGAATGAAAGAGAGAAAGAAAGAACTCAATAAGATGGAGGAGAAATAGAAAGAAAAAAGAATGGTATAGGACGATATAAAGATTGAGAAAGAAAGAAAGAAAGAAAGAAAGAAAGAAAGAAAGAAAGAAAGAAAGAAAGAAAGAACTTAATAAGATGGAGAAATGCGGAGGAAAAGAGTGCAATAGCACGTTATGAATACTTGAGAAAGAAAGAAAGAAAGAAAGAAAGAAAGAAAGAAAGAAAGAAAGAAAGAAAAAGAATTGTGTTAGAAAGAAAAAAAGAAAGAAAGAAAGAAAGAAAGAAAGAAAGAAAGAAAGAAAGAAAGAAGAAAAATAATGAAAGAAACGACTCAATGAGATGGAGGTGTAATAGAGAGGAAAAAGATTGCAACAGAACGATATAAAGATTGAGAAATAAATAAAGATAGAAAAAGAAAAAAGAGTAAAAGAAAGAAAAAAGATAGATAGATAGATAGATAGATAGATAGATAGATAGATAGATAGAAAAAAAAGAAAGAAAGAATAAAAGCAAAGAAAAGAAAGAAAGAAAGAAAGAAAGAAAGAACTCAATAAGATGGGGAGGATTGGAGAGTAAAAACGAATTTAAAAGAACGATATAAAGAAAGAATGAAAGAAAAAAGAAAGAAAAATGAAAGAAAGGAAGAAAGAAAGAAAAGAAAGAAAGAAAGAAAATTCAGATCTTGTTGGTTTATCGGGTTCTTTTTCTATCCACATTTTATGCTAATTTCGTCCCCTTTTTTGCACGCCTTGTTTATCTGAAGACGTCACTTGACACAAGGGAGATAACTTTTGAATACATCTAATGTATTATTAAATTCAGTTTGACTTTATTTTAAATATATGTATTTTTTAATTTAAGATAAGAAAATTCTGTCTGTTACAATTTTGACATAAATTCTGGTGATTTATGTTGGTGTTGATTTTGTGTTTTTTACAGAGCGATTCACGAACGTGACTCATTAAACGAACGGCCTTACACCAAATTGAAATACAAAGAATCAATTGACCCCAAGCAAGGCGATAATACCACTAAGAGTCAAGGGGGTTACAGAGAATGAAATAGAATGAGAAGAGTTTAGTTAATAGAAAGAACAGTGAACGTATATGGTCAGGATATCAAAATACGGCGAGCGACGTTGCATTTAAAGTTTTGAATATTGTAGATGGAAGGGAAACAAAAAATCGCAAGAGAGTTCCAAAGAGAGAAGCGTGAAAAAAAACTATTATAATAGAACTATTATCACTGGGTAATTAGAATATTTCTGTAACAATGATATATCAGTGTTATTTTCACTTTTGCGTAATATATATATATATATTATGAAATGGACAAAGTCCGACAATTATTTTAAGATACAAATATTTAAGTAAATGCTCTGTTTTATAATAAACAGTATTAAACAACATTTACCGGCCTGAATGTCCGAGAAATTTTCACAGAGAATATTCGTCCTCCGACAGGATTCGAACCTGTATCCTATACGGAACCTTCATTTATCTTGACGTGCCTTTACCGATTTGGCCATGAAGGAGCGTTCGGCAAGCGAGGTCGAATTTACTGTCTTTAAACTTCAATCTTCCATGAATCTCTCACGTACATCCATATCTGTTCATGGTGTATCAAATGTAAACAAATGACGTCACACATTATGAAAGGGACAAATCCCGACAATCATTTTAAGGCATTTGATACGAAAAGAATCTATAAACATAAAAATGTCTTATAAAAATATATATATATATATATATATATATATATATATATATATATATATATATATAGTTAAGTTACGAAAAACTTGGTAATCTGTGTGGGTAGTCCCAAGGAAGATGAAATCCTGAGAGCTCAATGTAAATTCAGAGCTAATAATTTATTGAAAAACAGACCACTTTGCGGCTCCATTGTAATAGTTTATTTCACCAGAGACATTTTAAGTACCCTGCATCCTCAGATATCACTTTCAACAGGTGAAACGAAAAATGAAAGATTTTACTGTATTTGAACTTCAATCTTCTGTGAATCTCTCACATTTACATAGCAAATTGACCAACAATATATTTTATAGCAAATTGACCAACAATATATTTTATAGCAAATTGACCAACAATATATTTTATAGTAAAATGACCAACAGTACATTTCATAGCAAATTGACCAACAATATATTTTATAGCAAATTGACCAACAATATATTTTATAGTAAAATGACCAACAGTACATTTCATAGCAAAATGACCAACAATATATTTCATAGCAAAATGACCAACAATATATTTCATAGCAAATTGACCAACAATACATTTCATAGCAAATTGACCAACAATATATTTCATAGCAAATTGACCAACAATATATTTAATAGCAAAATGACGAACAATAGTAGAAATGCCAGCAATACACTTTATAGAGAAGGCATATCAACACCTCTCTGAGGCACGGCGGAGTAATGGATAGCGGCTCGGATAGATGAATCGGATAGCCGAGTTCGAATTCCAGTCGAATCCATTACATTCACTTACGTGCTAATACCCTTGGGAAATGTATGAATCCGTTTCTTCTTTCCCCCAGCTATGGGTAAATAGCAGGACAGACCAAGTTCTATAGCCTTGGATGGCAACTGGTCTACTACAGAAAGAAATGACAATCTACTGCGGTAAAATTTAGCTCGTTAGTCAAGTTTCTTTTCTCTTCTTGGATAATGGATAGCGGCTCGGATTGAGGAACCGGAGAGTCGAGTTCGAATTCCAAAAATTTACCTCGTCAGATACATGATCGCCTATCACGCATGGCACATAACTGACTGACATTTTATAGCAAAATGACCAACAGTCCATTTTATAGTAGAATTATCAACAATACATTTTAAAGACAGCATACGGTTGCGGTCGAAATATATTCAGTTGAAGCCATACTTTTTTTTTGTTTTAAGAAAAGAAATGACATTGATAGGAAATATATTGGCCGTCAAGTCATCCGTAGGTTTCCCAGATCTTCATACTGTGACGGCTGGTGTTTATCAGAACACATGCAAATAATATTTTATTAATTCAATGGCGTAAACTTTCTTTCTTTTTTTTTTTTTTTTTGATCGGCATCACCCCAAGCAAGGCAATACAGCCACTAAGACTCAAGGGGTTACAGGCTGTGGAAGAATTAAGAACAGAAACATTAATGAGCAAGTAAATGAAAAAAAAAAAAAAAGAATTCAGAAGGAAACTAGATAGCGATTGACATTGCATTTAATATTTTTGCAGATTAAAGTTGGCTGGAAATCAAGGAGCCGGAAGGGAGCTCCACAAGTAAGAAGTGCGAGAAAAGAAACTGTTGACAGAGAACTTACGGCTACATCTAGCCAGCTCAACTGTAAGTTGAGATCTTGACACCAGTCTCGTACTGCGCTTAAATTTAAAAAAATATCTAGATACTATATCGACGAGCTCATCCGAACAATTACCATGAAAGTATTTGTAAAAAGGCATAAAGAGTAAACCTTACGGCTGTGGCTAAGTGTCTGAAGCCGAAGTGCCAGATCAGGCCCAGTAATATTGCTGATTCTTTTTTAGATTTTATCAAGGAACTCTTGGTACAGAGCAGGGGTACCGAACCATATGTGGCAGCACTATTTTAAGCATGGACGGATAGTAGATTTATAGATATGTATGATAGATTCCGGAGAGAAATTGTCTAGCACGATATAGTAAATCAACTTTCGTAGCAGCTAACCTAGCAATGGATTTAATATAGTCTTTCCACTTCAGGTCATATGAGAACGTTAGCCCGAGTGACTCGCAGCGGCTCACTTTCCTGGAGGTTAGCATCAGCCATACTAATGGAGAGTAGAGAGCGGATGTCGCAGATGATTGATGGAGAGTAGTTTATTTTAGAGGCGTTACAATAGACAAGCCGTCTTTGGCGCCAGTTAGCGACAGACTTGAGGTCGTTTTGGACATTGGCTGCCATTTTGATCTTGTCGGACTGATCAGCCTCACTTATCGAAGTAGAAGTAAATGGTTATGTCGTCAGCGTAGGTGACAAGTTGGGAGCTGGTGTCATCGGGAAGGTCGTTAATGAAAAGTTTGTTTTTTTTTAAATTTAAATATTTAACCGATTAGATTAGCGGATAACAAAACTCTAACCCTAACCCTAACCCTAACTCTAACCCAAACCCTAACCCTAACCCTAACTCTAACCCTAACTCTAAGCCTAACCCTAAACCTAACTCTAACCCTAACTCTAAACCTAACTCTAACTCAAACCCTAACCCTAACTCTAACTCTAACCCAAACTCTAACCCTAACCCTAACTCTAACCCTAACTCTAACTCTAACTCTAACCCTAACCCTAACTCTAACACTATCTCTAACTCTAACCCTAACCCTAACTCTAACTCTAACCCTAACCATAACCCTAACTCTAACCATAACCCTAACCCTAAACTGACAAAGCAGGATCTCCGCTGGAGAGTCCGAAACAATTTGCCAAAATTTTATTCCAATCTTCGGAACATACTGTGGTACAGACCAACAGGAGTTACCTCTCTTCTCTCTTCTTGTTCTTCTAACGGCATTCACCCGAGGTGGGTTGAGCCGGCTCCAATATTGGAGTTTCACAAGCGGTCCCCAACCCGCATGTATATCACATGAGATTTGATTATAATGGTGAAGTTTTCGTGCAGGACCATCCACACTTTTTGAAGGGCCGAATACAGAGACCTGGTGCACTACGTCCCACAAGGTCCCCAAACGACTCTCCGCAGGTTTTGAATACAGAGTTTTCCTTCTCGTAGACCAGTTGCCATCCAAGGCTATAGAACCCAGTCTGTCCTGCTATTTAACCATAGCTGGAGGGAGAAGAAAAGGATTCACACCTTTCCCAAAGGGTATTGGCACATAAGTGAATGTAATGGATTCGACTGGAATTCGAACTCGGCTCTCTGATTCCTCAATCCAAGCTGCTATCCATTACTTCACAGTGCCTCTCTTGATGACGATTGTCTCTCTCCCTTAGATACTCTAAATAAAGCGGTCACGTCAGTCAAACTCAATAAAGTTTTCTTCGGTGTTAACATTCCTACGCGTTGTTATTACACATAATTTTATAGCTTTCCCTTTAAAACTTACGACCGGAACTGTAACAGAGTAATGTTTTGCAGTCAAAAGCAGCACGCCCACTTACCTATTAAAGTTTTTACTTCCAGCACACGCCATTGCATTTTGACATAACAGATTTTTCGACGGGTCCAATTCAGTTTCGTTCCATTTGGTGTGGAAGAAAATAATCACCAGTTGGACAAAAAAGGTTTACTTGGAATCCATTTTATGGATAGGCTTTTATTGACCCGGGGGTGCAGACAGATTTGGAAATCAATAATTGGCAAGAATATAGTAAAGAAGAGGTTTGCGGAACAGGAAAAGACAAAGTGAGAAATAGATAGATAGAGAAAAAAATAATGAGATAGATAGATAGATAGATAGATAGATAGATAGATAGATAGATAGATAGCGATCAGAATGAGATAATAAATAAATCGATTGATAGATAATGATCAGAATTAGATAGATAGATAGATAGATAGATAGATAGTGATCAGAATGAGATAGATAAATAGATCGATTGATAGATAGATAATGATCAGAATGAGATAGATAGATAGATAGATAGATAGATAGATAGATAGATAGCGATCAGAATGAGATAATAAATAAGTCGATTG